TCATGAGTATATTTCTTATGTTTATTTCTTTTTTTTTTTAGTTTAGATGAAAATTATAATTTTAATAGAGAATTTTTTAATATTTTGGATAGGTTAATGTTACATTTTGAACATTTTAATTTCTTAGATTTATTAATCAGTGATAAAAAAAAATTTATTGAAAGAATTATGGTTTGAAGATTTTATTAATATTAAATTATGATAAATGATTCAATATTAATTAGAAAGTTTCAAATTATCGATATATTTCGTAATTATAGTATCGAAATATTAATTTTTAATTTCTTATATTAAATTTGAGTTTTAAATAATTTTTCTCTTTTCTTAAAAAAAGTTAAGTTTTATTTTTTTAATTATCCAACCGCAAACGCCCGCAACCGCAAATGCTCGAGGGAAGTAGCTTTTGATTTTGAGAGGTTTGAAGTGACACAGAGCGTTATAAAGCATTTTCCATTATTGTTGTCAAATGCCAACAACCGCTAAACGCAGTGTTTGCGGGTGAACCAATCAAGCTAAATATATATAGAGCTAGTTACTCAATAATTTGCCAATGCATAGATTTAAATGCAATGTGCTATTTGATGATTCCATAAGTCAACATGTTAATCGGATGTATTTGACTACATATAAATCAAAATAACATGTCTGGTGATTTTGTTTAGTTGACTATGGTGATAAGATGTCTCATCCTTTGGTCTTGTTTTCATTTGGATATTTTCGATAGATGCTATGCAATAATTAAAGTAGAACATAACAAAAGATTAGTTAAACCAAAATTTGACCTTATTCATTTATCTACACGTTCTTGGATGCTTACTGACTATACACATTACGATTTTTAGATTTGGAATGAATGTGTATATATACCAAAAGAAAAGTCTTTGGTCATAAAGAGGAAGATGAACAAAATTATTGTATTTATAATTTTTGTGTGAACCCAAACATACATTGTTATCTCTTGTAAACTTCTAAATGTATTTTTCTAACGACGGATAGATATGGAGAACAATAAAAATTGTTTTTAGAGAAGGTTTACATAGTTTTATCAAATTTTAGAAAATGATACAATTTTGGAAGCTTTTCAAATTCGGATCAACAAAAAGACAAAAAAAAACTAACAATGGAAATTTATCCACACATAAATTGTTCAAAACGAATAGTCAAAAAGAATCAAAGGGTGAAAAGAAATTAACTACAATTTTATTTTCATAATCAAGTGTCCTAATATTCTAAACTAAAATGAGGTGATGATGGATGCAAACAAACTCTGTAAAGCAAAACTCTTAAAAAAAACAATGTGGAAATCGGATATATAAAGTTAAATTTGTTAAAGGTGTTCGGAAATTAGAGAATTTTATATCGTACTCATTTAGAACTAGTTTATATTGAAAATATGATTTTTTTATTGTTGTTTCTGTTAAACTGTTATTACAAAAAAAAAATTTTGCTCAAAATTCTGAACCCTCTTTAGATGAGTACAATGAGTTATATATAGTGTTATTAAGTAATTGGTCCAACTAATAAAATTGATTTGGCCCATGAAACAATATATCAAATTTAGACACATAATTTCATTAAGTCATTTTGCTTGTAGATTTAATGTCATTTTTGGTCTAGATTCAGACTGGGCCTTTGTAAACTTGCTCCGAATTGTCAGGATGCTGCGGAGTTGATCATGTCGTTATATCGATCTCATAGGGAGAAATCCGATGGAGTTGATGGTCTTGTTGCGTTAGTAGGTTTTGAGGCCTGCTAGAAAAATTTTAGAATTTTTTCCAAAAACAAAGTGATTTTAAAAAATTCTCCAGATATAAAAAAAGGTTTGCTTCCTTGGCGTTAATTTTTACCAATTCATTTTTTCATAGATAAGAAAGTATATATAT